CTTAAAAGACTCTCCCCAAAACAGACCAAAATGTATTGGTTGTCAGAAATGTCATGACCCTTTTGCATAGAAAAGCACGTCATAACTCTCCCGACGACCTAATATAAGGAAGTTTATACTACAGAAGAACATGAAAGAGAAAAGTTAGAACTATACAGTAAAACTGGAATGACTGGCCAATGTAAAAAAACTGATTTTCCACTAAAACTCCTTCCTCTACATTTCAAAACTCCTAGGAGGGAGAATTCTGAATGTTCTCATTACAAAAAAATACAAGTGTTTAAGGTGAAGGAAAGGCATGATAATTACCTTGATTTGATCATTATACAATATCTCCATATACTTAAATATCACAACATACCCCATAAATATGTAAAATGATCATGTGTCAATCAAAAAAACTAAAACAAAAAATAATTAAATATTTTTCTCTTTTCCTGGGAAAAAGGTGACCAGCAGAGATTTCATTTCCCAGCCTCCCTTTGTGGCTAGTGGCTAGATGTGCCCAGAAGACTAATTTCATGCCAACATAAGCTGCAGTGAAGCCTGCAACTTCTAATCACTTATCTGGACTTCTTCCTTTGCCCTTCCCATTGAGTGGACCCAGATACGGCAAGAACCCAGCTATGACCATGCAGATAACCACAGTAACAATTACTGGTGCAAAAGGACAGACGAGCCTGAGTCTCTGCAGGACCGATGGATATGGACAGTTCTGCTGACCTGTTTTGCTTACACTGGAGCTATGCAGTGAAGAAGAAATAAATATATATGTTCTTCAAACCAGAACATATTTAGGTCCCTTGGATATAGCAATTCAGCTTTACCCCAATTAATAGGGAACCCAAAAAAGAAACTAAGTTAGATTCATGCCTAACATTCCAGTTGGATCAGAGATTTAAGTCTATAAAAAGAACCACATGAGTGCTGGCACGTGGCATTTTAGTTAAGGTGCTGAAATCCTACATGGCCAACTGTGGTTCAAGTCCCGGACCTGGTGGCTTGCTTTCTCACTTTCTCTCTCTATCTCTCTGTCTCTCTGTCTTTCTCTGGTACATACATGTGCCCCATAGCAAATTTTAAAATAATAATAAATAAAATGAAATAATTCCTTAAAAAAATTAACATAAGAGAACCACATGAGGCACCAGCAGGTGGTGTGGTGGCTAGGGCACTGGACTTTCACATGGCTGACTGTGGTTTGAGTCCTGGACCTAGTAGCGGCTTGTAACTCATGTCAGATGCATGTGCATGTGTGCCCAGAGTCCCAAGGGGAGAATGGAGGAGAAGGGACTGCAACATGGCCGTCCCTTACAGGGGTGTTTTCTCACTTTCCTTCTCTTTCTCTCTCTCTCCAGCGAGCGTACTCATCCTATGGCAAAAACCTTTAAAAAAAAAAAAATGAAGAAGAAGAAGAAAAGATACTAGAAGAAACAAACAAGGAGATAAGTTTTTTTTAATTTAGAGCTGGAAAAGGTCTTTAAATATGGTATAAAATGTTTACTAATAAGCACAGCAAAATAATTATTTTTATGTAAATGACCAACTTGGGAAAAATATAAATAGCATATATCACAAGGAGAATAGGATGGCTATAAGGTAATCATAAAAATCAGTACATTGATAAAAAGTCATTGTTTTGCTAATAAAAATTCAATAACCCAGTAAGAGGCCAAACGGTGGCTCAGTGGTCATACAACTGCACTCACAGGGAAAAGTTCCTGGGTTCCTTACAGAGACCTCCCTGAGAGCACAGGTGCATCAGTGTGTGCCCATGATTCAGGAGCTGAGACTGGGGACAGATCATGGCATGGAGACCCTGTTGGGGATTCCTGTCTATCTATCCCACTCATAAAAACTAATATATAATTTAAAATATAATACTCAATAGAAAAATACACAAAGAACACAGCACAGAGGAAACAGAATTGGAAATACAAATGGCTTTTAAATTATAAAAAGATGTTCCATGTCAATAAAAAGAAAAATGCAAATTAAAGGTACATTAAACTGCCATTTTTTTTAATCTGTCAATTTGGCAAAGAAAAAAACCTATTAGTTTACCTATTATGCCATGCTCTGTAAGGGCATGAGGGCACAGCATTCTCATCCACTGCTGGTGAAATCTAAAACTTTTCAAGCTCAATGAACAGAGCAAGTTGGCAGTTAATTTCTACCAAAATTAAAATGTGCATACCCTTTGACCCAACATTTCTATTAGAAATGGATCCTAGAGACACAGTTGCACCTTGGAAATGACGCATGTACAAGGTTATTCCCTACAGCCTTGTTCATGATAATAAATACTGGAAATGATCTACATGCCCATCAATACAGGACTGGTTAAACTGATTACACCACATCTCTATAGCAGAACATCAGAATCCACTAAAAAAAAAACACAGCACTAATATGGAAGATCTTCCAAGAAATATCATTTTAATGAGCAAAGGTGTGAAACCTTATATATGTTTACCATTTGTGTTTAAAAAAGGAAAAATTGTAATAATCTATAAGTTATGTGCTTGTATATTATATATGCTCTGAAACAATACACAACCCCACTCGTGTGCGTGCGTGCCCAAGATCCCGAGAGGAGAATGAGGAGAAGGGATTGCGGCGTGACCATCCTCCCTGGGGGGTGATTTCTCGCTTTCTGTCTCTATGTCTCTCTCTGTCTGTCTGGCGAGCGCACGCGCCCTACAGTGAAAATCTCTCAAAAAAAAAAAAAAAAAAAAAAAAACACAAGAAGTTGGGGCCAACAGATGGCGGAGGGGTTGGGGTACTAGATTCCCTTATGGCCAACTACAGGTTCAAGTCCCAGACTTGACATGACAGCTTGCTTTCTCACTTTCCCTTTCTCTTTCCCTCTCTCTCTCTGTGTCTTTCTCTGGTCAAATTAAAAAATAATAATGACAGACAAAATTAAACAAATAATTCTTTAAAAAAAGAATACACAAAAATTGTTAACAGTGTTTGCTTCTAGAAGGGTAAAAGGGCACTTGGGAGACAGAGGGAAGAGAGTAATTTATTTCACCCCATACTCTTACACCTTTTTAATCTTATATACATTAATTACATTACCTTCCTAAAACTAAATGCTTTATGCAATATCAAAAAAAAAATCCCTATTACCAGATACCTGAAAACTTCTTTGGTGATTCTTACTGTTAAACACATTAGGAAAACTACTAAGCTGAAAAATGTTAACCATTTCATAACCAAGAATCATAGGGTTAGCAATTAACAACACCCATAAACTCTTCCTCCTGCTTCAAATAAATATGTATACATATAAACCCCACACATGTACATATATACATCCATGTATATATCTATACACACACACAAATACAGTCAGCCTCTTAATGCCATCTGTTATTCATTACTTCTTAAAACTAATTTGACTTCACACCACCATAAATGGGCACGAAAGTAGCTCCAAATAGTCAAAGAATAGTAGCCAGAACTAACAACTACAGTAATATATTCACACAGCCTCCAGAAAATGAAAACTTGACATAACTGACACCTCAGCAAAGTCCAAAGCAGAGCATCATCTGCCTTGGAAAATAAGTACTCACATCCTCAATGACAGGAAGTCCAATGTCAACAACCGTGGCTTTGGATTTTATCCCCTATGTGGAAGGCCATTACATGACCCCCTCTAAATTACAGGCTAACCTCTCACTTGGGGACTCGTTACTATGTTACAGCCACATAAGAACACATGCAGGCATTATTTAGACAAGGATTAAATTCTGCTTAAAAGTGAAAATGTCCTTAATATATCAAGTGTAGAGAAAAAGAAAGTTGTAAAGCAAAATGTGAAATGCTCCACCAATTTTAAGGTGGCACAGAGGTTAAAGCACTGGATGCCACATGGCCGACCATGCGGTTTAAGTACTGGACCTGGAGGGTTGACAATCACATAGGGCACCTGTGCATGCATGCCCAAACTCCCAAGAGGAGCCTGGAGGAAAAGGCACCGTGGCATGGCCGACTCCTGGGGGGCAGGTGATTTCTCACTTTCTCTCTCTCCCTCTCTCTGGCCAGTGCACACATCCTATAGCAACAACAATAACAAAAAACATAAATAATATGTACATTGTTTGTGTATAAAAATGTCTGTGTATAAAGATGTTTACGTGTCAGAAAGTATGTTTTCCAAGCTATTAGCCAAAGGTGAAAAAGAGAAGGGAGTAAGAACTTTATGTCTGTCCTTTACATATCTATACTTACACTGTTCTGCACTACATGAAATTAAATCATCAAAAGGAAGCTTTTGGGCCGGCTCCATGATACAGCAGTAATGTACTCCTCAAGCGAAGTTGCACGTCACATGGACACCACAATTCTGATCATAATAAATGTACTACACTGGTGTGGGCTATTGATAGTAGGAGAGGTTGGGAGGTGTGTGTGTTGGGGAGGGGGATTGGGAAATTCTCAGTACTTTAGGCTCCGTTTTACTGTGAATCTAAAACTGTTCTAAAAATTAACATCTATTTAAAAGGAAAAGATAGGTGTAGTCTTATAATAGTGCTGGTGGAAGGTATCACGCCAGGATGCTAGAGCTATATGGGAAAGGACCTAAGTTTGGATCTTGGGTCAACCTGAACATGTGGAACACACCTATGGACATGCCCATGATCCTTTTCAACTTATTCCTTTTAATTTTTCCTTTGTAAGGCTTAGAGGATGAGGAGCATCATGCTGTGGTAAGACCATTCAAGGGTAACCACCCATAATAAATAAATAAAAGGAAAAAATATACATACTGGCCCTATGAGGTGAAAAGAATGGCAAAAGTATTTTTTAGGGAAATGTTGGTCATATTTGAACAACTTGTCCCAAGGTAAAGATTAAGAACAGTACACCCAAATAAAAGCCTACCATCAAAGCACTGCAAAAACTAAGAACTATTGTGCTGGTCCTAACTTTCTTATTTTAGATGCCTATAAAAGCAACAAAATAATCACTTGTGGCAAAGAATTTACCCTGAAGATCTGGTCTATGCCAAAGAACATTAAAAGAGGTGACTTGTTGGAATGGCTGTACTGCTGGCGCTGGCGAGGCTGCTCTCGAAGCTCCTGAATAAGCTGACTCAGCTACCTTCAAGCTGGCTCCAGCACGTCTGCCCACAGTCCTTCAAGCAGTGTGCCTCCTTCAGAGCTTCACTCCTTCTGTTCACTGGGAGACAGGGAGTGGGAGAGGCGCTCCTGGAGTCTCCCAGAATTACGAGTCTTCCAGCAGCTCTTGCTACGGCAATTGCGACGTTCACAAGCACTTGGGGCTGCAGGAGGAAAGAAGAAAGAAATCCAACTAAGCAGAAGAAAACTCTGCAGTTGTGAATGTGCTAGTCAAAGCAAGGTCACACTTGACAAGTTCTTCAAGTGGGCTGCAAAACTTCAGCTGATGTACATGTGAAGCCAGTATGGAAAAGTTTGAAAACACAAGATGTTGTGGGCTGAGGTCATGGATCTACAGTGGTCTTTAAATATTTTTCTAAATGACATACAACCTAGTCAGATCTATACTTGGTAAATTTCAGAACCAAGTTTCTTTAAAACCCATATGCTACTTACTCTAGGGTATTGCTAAAGAACAAAAAAAAAAAAGCAATGGCTTCACGTATATTCATTATGACGTGTGCCTGTTTCAAACGCAGAACCAAGAACAGAATGAAACCTCTTCCTTCCCAGGCCCCTGGCCCCTCTTGGAGACATCCAGAGTACCTGAGTGTAACGAATTTCTTGTGAACCCACCAAGAAGTATCTGGTTTCGGGCCATTTTCAGCAATATTCTCAGTAGTGCACAGATCTAGTTCAAAGTCTCGTAAAACAATGGTGGGGAAGGAGCACGAAGCGGAAGGCAAGGGGTACTCCAGATAACTAACAAAAAACAAAAAGCCAAGCAAGCTCCCTTTTCCTTTAGGAAGACTTGAAAAACATCAACATTTGCCAAAGGAAGAGGAAATTTTTATTAGAACCAAACTTTCCCACTCAAATCGTGAAATAACATTGAAAAAACTTCTTTTGGAAAACAGAGCGTTTTTTTAACCTCAAAGGGCATTTTACCAAGAAAATGTTCATGTAAATAAATCTAAGTAGAAAATAAACCCAAAATAAAGCATTCCTAAATAATTATGTGGAAAAGAAAAATCTTCCCCTCCACCTTGGATTCAAGGGAGATTTACAGATACTATCAAACTGTTCCCTGCTTCAGCTTAAATTAAGACAATGTATTGAAAAAGAAAATCTAGACATGTAAAAAGCATACTAAAAATAAGAAACATAAAAATATCCCTTGGAGAGAGGTCAACCAGAAATTTGCCATTTTCAGCAATCATTCAACAAAGTTGAAAAGAAAAATTCCACCCTTAAAAACAAATTCGTCAGAGAGTAGCACCCACAAAACCTTTGAGTTTCAGAACAAACTCTTGAGATGTTGCTTTTTCCAAAATGCTGGGGCCAGAAAAATTTGGCAGATTTTGGCAAGTTGCTTTCCCTTCTGCCAAAGGCTCACTTCATTTTAGGAGGGGGCCGGTGCTAACCTGTCTTGCCTAATAGCAACCATGGAAACAGGTACTGGGGCCAGGCAATGGTGCAGTAATAAAAGCACTGAACTCATACGGGAAGATCCTGGGTTCATGTCCTGGGACCTCTCTGATGCATCAGGTACAGAGATGTCCATGCTTGATTATGGTACAAAGACCCTGTGAGGAATGTCTCTCTCTCACCCCCTCTCTCTCTCTCATGAAGAAATAAGCTTTGAAAAAATAAAGCTTTAAAAAAATAAAGTCACAGATATGGTACTGGTGAAAAATTCAGATAAAGAAACACTGGTGCATTTTTTTTTTCTGACTCTCTTTTTAAAAAAATTCAGATATTAACTTTCATCTATTTATTTATTTATTATTTATTATTTATTTATTTATTTTTTAATTAGAAAAGTGTTTCTAATTCCCTGCCAACATTCCAAAGCTGTCAGATTTCCTGCATGGGATTCCTTCTCAAAGGATTATTCTATTTTCCAGATCTTTCTCATGCTAACTCCTCTAGTATTTATAATCTATATGATTCAACCTGGAACGTAACTGTCTGCCATGAACTGAGTCTGTCTCAAAGCCAATTTAAAATTAAGTGCCAATTTAAAATTAAGTAGTTAGAACGTGGACTCAGGAAACAGTGGAAGTGAGTTTTCCAACCTACTAAATGTGACCTGCACAAATTATTCAGCCTCTGTTTCTGTCTCCTTTTCCATGAAATGAGGTAAATAACAACTCCAGCTATCATTTAGTGACCCCTCAGTTCTGGAACTGTGCTAATCACATTACTTGTACTGTCTGATTTAATCCTAATGACAGCAACAAAACTGGATCACAAATTATTCTTCTCCTCCATCCCTCTTTCATGATACCTGGCATATAGCTGGTGTTCAAGAATGATTGGATAAAAACCAAATTTCCAAATGAAATATAATTTAACATTTTGTTTTAAATTCATGGGCTTTCAAATAACCCAGGGACTGAAGTGAGAACTGTGGTGCACTATAAGAAAAAACAAGTTGGTAAAACTTAGAAGACAGAGAGTTGAATAAATTCCAGATGCTTAATTTTTCAAAAGCCCTATTTAGGGTACATGTTCTCCCAAATACCCTTCACATCAACAAGCAAGTTTGGCAAACCCAAAAGGGAGAGGAAAGCAGTTGGTTTCAAAAACAAAGGAGTGGCCTAAAAAATAATAATAATAAAAGCAAGCAACAAAAAAGGTCATAACCACTAATTTAAATCAGTGCTATAAATATCTGCAAAATTAACTCTAGCAATTTGTCACAAAACTTTCATTAAGCTGAGTTTTTTCTCACAAAATATTTAGCCAACTAATTTGTTTGCCTATGGAATTTTAATTATTGGCAGTTAATCGAGCCATGTAAAAATCTGACCCATAAAGTTCAAAGGTACATTCCTGTGAGGGAGAGAGGGTAACTGAAAGGATGGGGCAAAGGAAAATCTGATAAAATTTTCTAACTCGAATTTCGGCATTTCACATACTACTACAATTTTCTTTAATCCAGTTTAAAAGAATACGCATAGTTTCTTACAAGTCACTGTCATATAATGGGGTCTGAGTTATGGCAACCATAAAAAGAACTTAAAGTCAAACAAGTTCTTGGCAGTCAACACAGCAACTAAGCAACAAGGAAAAAAATTAGGGCAAGTTTTCTCAACCTTTGAGTCATAACTATGTCCTTAGCTTCTAGCAATTGTGGCTTCCAAATTTTGCAAATGGTTGCCCTTTAGAGAACCATCCCATACCTTCCCTGTCTGTCCACTCACAATCCAAATAAACAGTGTACCCTGCTGTGGGGTTACCATTCACTGGTAAAACTTTAAGACACAGAATATGGTAGTTAGGGAACCAGCAGTTAGCGTAATGGCTATGTTGCTGGACTCCCACGTAGTCGACCGCGGTTCGTGTCCCGGACCCGGTGGCTTAAAACTCATGCCGGGCGCGTGTGCGTGCATGCCCAAGATCCCGAGAGGAGAATGGAGGAGAAGGGATTGCGGCGTGACCATCCCCCCTGGGGGGGGTGATTTCTCACTTTCTGTCTCTATGTCTCTCTGTCTCTATGTCTCTCTCTGTCTGTCTGGCGAGCACACACGCCCTATAATGAAAAACCTCTCCAAAAAAAAAAAAAGTTTCTGGACCAGCAGGCGGTGTGGTACTTAAGGCACTGGGTCCTACATGGCTGACTCCAAGGTTTAAGTCCTGGACCTGGCAGCTTGAAAAACACACCAGGCACATGTATGTGTGTGCTCAAAAATCCCAAGAGGAGAATGAAGATTAAGAATGAAAAAGAATGAAAAGAAGGGATTGTGGCATGGCCATCTCCCTGGGAAGGTGTAATGTCTTACTTTCCCTCTCTCTCTGTCTCCCTGTCTCTCCAGCATGCACATGCAACCTATGGCAAAAAATCCGGGGCGGGAGGGAAGGAATACTTTCTTTCTTTCATTACAAAGAGAGACAGCGCGAGAAAGAAGATAAGCACCTTTAACAAGGTCTCACATCGCAAGTATCCCGCAGCCTCCCAGCCTGCCAGAATCACAGGCATGTCCACACATGCCCAGCGTGTAGAGGTAGACCCTGGAACCCAATTCCAATCTTCCTTGTGGCCTCCAGCGCGGTGGTGAGTTGCACTACCTCTACACCACCACTGCTGGGCCTAAATTCTTCCTGACTGTAACTGAATGCTCAGAGTAGTGATCTTATTTTGCTCACCTGTCTTCTGCCATTTGAGATAAGTATTAAAATAGCATTGCAGGAAAAGTATAAAACATACCAATACCAAACCATAACACAAATCATTGGCATGATACTACAAATGTCTTCTTATTCTGGCTCTGAAAAAATATTGGTACAATCAAGCATATAAATGTCGAGTATCCTTGAAGAATAATCTTTCCCAGGCCCTTGAATGTGTGGGAAAGACAGGTCTGATCTACTAGTAATTCTGTAGAAAGGCATAAGGGTCATCAGTCAGTTCCCATAATTTCAGATCTCCCAGTGGGGGGGAAACAAGTCACATACCCTAAACACTGATAAACCCAGTGGGCACCACAGAGTAGAAAGAGGGGGTACCACATGGAGTTGAGAAAAGATGGACACTGATTAAATCAGGAAGTAGAAGCACAAATGAGCCTTGGCAGCTCCACTGTTCTCAAAGTTTCAAAATTCTAACAATATTAACCTTTGGACTTGGAAATAAGAAATGGACATGTCTAGGAGTGTCTCCAGAATTCCCCAAAATATTATTCTTAAAATACTTCCGAACATTCCCTATTTATTATTATGATATCTGGAAATATTGTTAATAGGAAATAGTAAGCTTAATAGTATCTACAAAGAATTGCAGCCAATAGCAAATATTAAAATCCTGGAAAATGCTAGCGAACACTACTGGATAGCATAATACAGCAGATAAAATCTAACTCATAGTTTGTTTTTGCAAATAAAACTCATATTGGAAAAGGTGTACTTGTTCACTTTACTTATAGTCTATGGCTGTCTTCACACTGAAAGGGCAGAGTTGATAACTGTGACCAAGACCACATGGCTGGCAAAGCCTAAGATATTTACTCCCCAGCCTTTAGAGAGAGTTTGTTGACCCCTGCAATAACCTATATTCGAATATACAAGCAAGGTTAACAGCACTACACAGAATCACATGTTGAAACTACCAATTAAAAGACTTTGCTTGCTTCTGAAACCTATCTCTTAGAACACCAC